GACTCTTCATCAGAACTGATGAACTGATATAGAGTCAAAGAATTTGAAACATTAACTCTGCTTTCTTCCCATCAGTGCTGCCAGACCTGCTGAGTTTCTCCAGCAATTTCTGCTTCTCAACTCCAGATCTCCAGCATCCACAATCCTTTGCCTTATTTTGTGGGCTACTTGCCTTCATTAGCTGAGGTATAGAGTTTAAGAGCAGGAAGGTTATGCTGGAGCTGTATAAAACAGCAGTTAGGCCACAGAGTGAGAATATTGCATGCAGTTCTGGAATCCACATTATAGGAGGAATATGGCAGCACTGGAGGGGGTGCAGAGGAGATTTACCAGGATGTTGCCCGGTCTGGGAGAGATTTACCAGGATGTTGCCCGGTCTGGGAGAGATTTACCAGGATGTTGCCCGGTCTGGGAGGGATTTACCAGGATGTTGCCCGGTCTGGGAGAGATTCAGTGATGCAGAAAGATTGGACAGACTGGGGTTGTTTTCCTTGGAGCAGAGGAGATTGAGAGATGACATGATTGAGATGTATAAAATGTTGAGGGACATAAACAGGAAGAAACATTTCCCTTTGATAGAGGGATCAATGACCAGAGGGCATAGATTGAAGGGAAGGAGCAGGAGATTTAGAGGGGATGTAAGGAACAAATGTTTCACCCAGAGAGTGGTGGGAATTTAGAACCCATTAGCCTGTAAGAGTGGGAGAGGCAGAAACCCCATAACATTTAGGAAGTATTTAGATGTGTACTTGCAATGCCAAGGCTGACAAGGCTATGGGCCAAGTGCTGGGAAAAGGGATTGGAATACTCAAGCATTTGTTTTTGACCAGCACAGATTTATTGGGCTGAAGGGCCTTTTTCTGTGTTGTAGATTCATAATTCCTTCCCCAGTGAGCAGAATCTAGTTCATTGAACATCTACAAGACTGAGGTGGACATTTTTCATCAATGAGGGAGTCAAAGGTTTTGGGGAGATGGTAAAATAAAAATCCAGATCCACCAGGAATAGCAGAGCAGGCTCAAGGGGCTGAATGGCCTACTCCTAGCTCTCTTTCATGCAACTGTTTCATTTGCTGAATGAAATGTTGGGTACCCATTGCTATATCCTTTCTCCCCCAGTTCAAAGGTACATAGACCACTCAAAGGTACTAGCACGCCATCTGCCTTGGGCTGTCAGGTAAAAGCACGTAGGAACAGCAGGAGGCCATTCATGCTTGCCGTCCCATCTCCATTCGTTGGCTGATTTTCGACCTGATTATCCTTAATGCAGAGTAACGGCATAGTTATAGCGCAGACGGAGAACCTTTTGTGCCTGCTATCCCAAAATTCCAGCTCATAACCACAACCCCCACCCCCTTGCCCCCCCCACCCATCTCCCCAGTGGGGCACATGGATGACAAGAATCTATCGACGTCAGCTGCTAGCAAAAGAGAGTTCCTAACTTCAACCAAACCATCAGCTTTCAGACAATTTTCCCAATGTCGCACCTTAAAGGTCTGCCTCCCACTTCGAGACTTCCCCTCATTTCATGAGCCTCCATGGCTACGCCAACAGCCATGACCTCATTGAATGCTGGAGCTGACCCAATGGGCTGAATGGCCTACTTCTCCATTTTGTGGTCCCTGATTACCCCTTGAGGAGGCGCTGGCGAGCTGCCTTCTTGAACTGTTACAAACGACGAAGCATTGAACCCTGACGCTCATCCTTTTCTTGATAGGAGCAGGAGTAGGCCATTCAGGCCCTTGGGCCTGCTCTGCCATTCAATAAGATGGTGGCTGATCTGAGGCCTAACTCCATCTGCCTGCCTTAGGCCCATTTCCATTGACACCCTTGCTTAACGAAAAATGTCTATGTTAGATTTAAACTGAACCATTGAATTAGCATCGGCAGCTGTTCGAGGAAGATCCAAACTTCTACTACCCCTTTGTGTAGACAAGTGCTATATAACATATCTCTTGAATGATCTGTCCTAATTCTTAGACTATTTTCTCTAGGTTCTAGAACCTTCTGTCAGTGGAAATAGTTTATTTTTATCTATTCTGTCTTTCACTGCTAATATCCTGAAGACCTTAATCAGATACTGAAGCAGTCCATGTTCAAATGCAACGAGATCTGGACAATATCCAGGCTTGGGCTGACAAGTGGCAAGTAACATTCATGCCACACAAATGCCAGGCTGTGACCATCACCAATAAGAGACAATCTAAGCACCACCTCTTGACTTTTAACGGTGTTACCATCACTGAATCCCCCCACTATCAACATCCTGTGGGTTATCATTGACCAGAAACTAAACTGGACTCACCACATAAACACAGGGGCTACAGGAGCAGGTCAGAGGTTGGGAATCCTGCAGCAAGTAACTCACCTCCTGACTCCCCAAAGCCTGTCCACCATTGACAAGGCACAAGTCAGGAGTGTGAGGGAATACCCACCTGCTTGGATGGGGGCAGCTCCAACAACACTCAAGAAGCTCAACACCATCCAGGACAAAGCAGCCCCCGCTTGATTGGTACCACATCCACAAATGTCCCACTCCCCCCACCACCGACGCTCAGTCGCAGCAGTGTGTACCATCTACAAGATGCGCTGCAGAAATTCACCAAAGATCCTCAGACAGCACCTTCCAAACCCACGACCACTTCCATCTAGAAGGGCAAGGGCAGCAGATACATGGGAGCACCATCCCCCTGCAAGCTCCCCTCCGAGCCACTCACTGTCCTGACTTGGAAATACATCACTGTCCCTTCACTGTTACTGGGCCAAAATCCTGGAATTCCCTCCCTAATGGCATTGTGGGTCAACCCACAGCAGGTGGGCTGCAGTGGTTCAAGAAGGCGGCTCACTCCCACTTTCTCAAGGGGCAACTAGGGATGAGCAATAAATTCTGGCCCAGCCAACAATGCCCATGTCCACCAAAATGAATAACAAAGAAGATCTCCCCTTAACCTTCTAAGTTCTGGAAAATAGAAGCCTGATTGGTCTAATCTTTCTTTGTAACTTAATCCCTGAAGCCCAGATATCATCCCTAACCCTTGAAGTTCAGGTATCATCCTTGTAAATCTGCGTTGGAGTCCCTCCAGGGTCAAAACATCCTTTCTAAGGTTTGGCACCCAAATCTGCTCTAAATGAGGTGTAACTAGGGTTTTGTATAACTACAGTATAATGTCTCCATCCCTATACTCAAGTCCCTTCAGTTATGAAGGCCAGCATTCTATTAGCCTTCCTGAGTACTTTCTGCATCTGTTTGTGGCCATTTTAAACACCTTTGCACCTGAGTCGCCAAATCTTTTGATATTCACAAAGAAGGTGAACATTACATGGGCTGACAACGTCTTTGGCAGCCTCTGCTGCTCGATTCACAATGACCTTCACTTAGATATCAGGACAGTACGATTAACACCCATCTCTCATCAATACAAACCTGTTGTGCCAGAATCCTGAAAGAGTTCATGAGCTGTAGGGGCACCCACACAGTGCCGTTATGGAAGGAATTCCAGGATTTTGACCCAGCGACACTGAAGGAACGTTCCCAAGTCAGGATGGGGAGTGGCTCGGAGTGCAAATGGTGGTGTTCCCATGTATCTGCTGCCCTTGTCCTTCTAGATGGCAGAGGTCATGGGTTTGGAAGGTGCTGTTTAAAGAGCCTTGGTGAGTTGCTGCAGTGCATCTTGTAGATGGTACACCCTGCTGCTACTGAGCGTCGGTGTTGGAGGCAATGGATACTGAAGGTCTATGCAGGTGCAGCAGGCAGTGAGGAAGCTAATGGCATGCTGGCTTTCATAGCGAGAGGATTTGTGTATCGGAGTAAGGGTGTTTTGCTGCAGTTATACAGGGACTCGGTGAGGCCACACCTTGAGTATTGTGTGCCGTTTTGGCCTCCTAGTCTGAGGAAGGACATTCTTGCTACTGGGGAGTCCAGCGAAGGTTTACCAGATCAATTCTCAGGATGGTGGGACTGACATATGAAGAAAGACTTGATCAACTGGGCTTGTACTCACTGGAATTTGGAAGAATGAGGGGGGACTCTCATAGAAACATATAAAGACCTGATGGGACTTGACAGGCTGGATGTAGGAAAAGTGTTCCCGATATTGGGGAAGTACAGAACTAGGGGTCACAGTCTAAGAATAAGGAGTAAACCATTCAGGACTGAGATGAGGAAGAATTTCTTCACTCAGAGTTGGGAACCTGTGGAATTCTCTCCCACAGGAAGCTGTTGGGGCCAGTTCGTTAGATATATTCAAGAGGGAGCTGGACGTGACCCTTGCGGGTAGAGGGATCAAGGGGTATGGAGAGAAAGCAGGAATGGGATACTGAAATTGCATGATCAGCCACGATCATATCGAATGGTGGTGCAGGCTCGAAGGGCTGAACGGCCTACTCCTGTGGCTATTTTCTATGTTTCTATGTTGGCCTTGCAACCAATGCATAGACAGTAAGGATCATAGCGTTAGTTATAGAATGTAACATTGGGATATACCGACTAACGCCAGTGACTTGGTCATCTTTCTTTATATGCGCTCTGGGTATAGAATCATAGAATCTATAGGGTGGAAACAGGCCCTTTGGACCAACAAGTCCACACTGAACCCTCAGAGCATCCCACCCGGATCCATGCTACATAATCCACCCTAACCTACACATCCCTGAACACAATGGGGAAATTTAGCATGGCCGATCCACCCTAACCTGCACATCTTTGGACGGTGGGATGAAACCGGAGCACCTGGAGGAAACCCATGCAGACACGGGGAGGATATGCAAACTCCACACAGGCAGTCACCCGAGGGTGGAATCGAACCCGGGTCCCTGGCGCTGTGAGGCAGCAGTGCTAACCATGCCACTCCAATCCAAGGTACTCAATTGAAGAAAGCCAGTCAGAAAAATAAGTCTTTTGGCATTCAGTACCATATGGCAACAAACTCCTAACACGGGAGCGAGGGCCAGTGTGGTTGCTGGGGACAGAAACTGACGTTTTGTTTTGTTGCTTTTGCCCAGGTTGCTGTGCGTTCTGGTGTATGCCTTGCTTCATGTGCAAGACTGTGGATCAGTTTGGGGAATGCCTTTGCCTCCCATTGCTGGACACCAGCTGCAACAGCTGCGGTTATCTCAACACAGGAGTAATTCCGCCCATCTCCCTCGCAATGCGAGTTGCCTTCCGCGAGAGACACAGAATTCCGGTAAGTGGGATGGTGTGCATGTTGCCGGTCTGTTCAGGATATGCCTCCCTGTCTGGCCCATTTAGATTTGGGTTTTTTTGTCACATGTGCTCAAGTATGGGGTACAAGACCACAGCGAAAAATGTACAATGTCAAAGCATACATTTAGCCTGTCAAATTCCTTGCTGGCTCTTTCCTCTATTAAAGAGTCATATAGTATGGAAACAGACCCTTCAGTCCAACTACTCCATGCTGACTTGGTTTCCTAGCCCCATTTAGTCAGAAATACAGGATGGAAACACACCCTTCGGTCCAACACGTCCAAACTGGCCAGATATCCTAAATTAATCTAGCCCAGCATTTAGCCAAAATCCCTCTAAACTCTTCCTATTCATATACACATCCAGATGCCTTTTAAATGTTGTAATTGTACCAGCCTCCACCATTTCCTCTGGCAGCTCGTTCCATACATGGACCACCCTCTGTGTGAAAAAGTTGTCCCTTAGGTCCCTTTTAAATCTTTCCCCCCCTCACCTTAAACCTACACCCTCTAGTTTTGGTCTCCCCCTACCCTGGGGGCACAGGGCCTTTGCTATTCACCCTATCCATGCCCCTCATGATTTTATAAACCTCTGTAAGGTCACCCACTCAGCCTCCGATGATCCACTGGGAAAAAAAAATCATCAGCCTCTCCTTATAACTCAAACCTTCCAGTGTCGGTAACGTCTTTGTCCCCTGAAGTTTATCATTTTGCTCAGTGCCAGTTCCCTCGCGACTCCCTCCTTAACATCTTCTGAATCACCGCTGTTATGAAATGTTTTTGTGCCCTCTATCATAAAGACAGAAGCAAAATATTTGTTCATTTCTTTATTATTCACATTAAATCCCCGTTCTCAGTCTCTGGAGGACCAACATGTATTTTACTGACACTTCCCCCTTAAAAATACCTGAAGAAAGTCTTGCAATTTATTTTTACATTCCTATCTTTCTCTCATACTCTAATCTCTTCAACTCCTCATCCAGGCTATGGCTGGTTTTCCAGTTTATGTAAAATTTAGGCAATTACTATCTCCAATAAGAGAGAACCTAGCCACCGCCCATTGACATTCAATGGTGTTACTATCACTGAATACCCCCGCTATCAATGTCCTGGGGGTCACTATTGACCAGAAACTGAACTGGACTCGCCACGTAAACACAGTGGCTACAAAAGCAGGTCAGAGACTGGGAATACTGTGGCGAATAACTTTCCTCCTGACTCCCCAAAGCCTGACAAGGCACAAGTCAGGAGTGTGAGGGAATACCCCCCACTTACCCTGGATGGGGGCAGCTCCAACGACACTCGAGAAGCTCAACACCATCCAGGACAAAGCAGCCCCCGCTTGATTGGCACCACATCCACAAACATCCCACTCCCTCCACCACCGATGCTCAGTAGCAGCAGTGTGCACCATCTACAAGATACACTGCAGAAATTCACCAAAGATCCTCAGGCAGCACCTTCCAAACCCACGACCACTTCCATCTAGAAAGACAAGTTCAGCAGATATATGGGAGCACCACCCCCTGCGAGTTCCCCTCTGAGCCACTCTCCATCCTGACTTGGAAATATATCGGCTGTTCCTAGAGTGCCACTGGTTCAAAATCCTGGAATTCCCTCCCTAAGGGCACTGTGTGGGTGTCCCTACACCATATGGGACTGCAGCGGTTCAGGAAGGTGGCACACCCCCAACATCTCAAGGGGCAACTAGGGACGGACAATAAATGCCGGCAGTGACCTTTACATCTTCCGAAAAAAATTAAATAAAAAACTATCTCACCCTTCAGTCTTGTTTAAGGGATTAATACACTCAGACTGATCCTGTTGTGTAAGCCCACTCCTTTGTAGAGCCTGTCAAACCTTTTCCAATCCTTTTATAATTTAATGATGACCCAAGGACCTATATGAATGTGGCCTTATCAAGGTTCAGTAAGTATCTACCTTTCATTCCTATGTCTTTATAAATAACTCCAGTACTTGTTACACTCAGTCCTGTTTCTCCTTATTTCTCTGCGGAAGTTTAATTATCTTCTTTCATAGAGTCATACAGCTCATAAACAAACCTTTCACTCCCAACTCGTCCCTGCCGAACAGGTTTCCCAAACTAAGCTAGTCCTACTTGCCTGCATTTCGCCCATATCCCTCTAAACACTTCCTCTTCATGTTTCCATTCAGATGCCTTTTAAATGTTGTCATTGTTCCACCACTTCCTCATTTCCATACATGCACCAGATTCTGCGTGAAAAAGTTGCCCCTTTGGTCCCTTTTAAATCTTTCTCCTCTCACCTTAAAAATATGCCCTCTAGCTTTGAGCTGAATCCGATATGTTTCAATGAGATCCCCTCTCATTTTGCTAAGCTCCAGTGAGTAGAGTCCCAATCTGTTTAATCTTTGCTCATTAGACAATCTCTTCACACTGGGGATCATCCTAGTGAGCCTTTTCTGAACTGCCTGCAACAAAATGATATCTTTCCTTAAATAAGGAGACCAAAACTGCTCACAGTACTCCAAATGTGGTCTCACCAGCACCTTTTACAGTTGCAATAAGGCTTCCCCACTCTTATACTCCAACTCCTTTGAAATAAGGACCAACGTTCCATCAGCCTTCCTGATTCCCTGCCACTGGATTTCTGTGATTTATGCACAAGGCACCCCCAAGTCCCTTGTGTTGCAGCTTTCTGCAGTCTTTCTCCATTTAAATAAAACTCTGTTCTTTTGTTCTCCTTTCTGAAATGAGCAACTTCACATTTTCCCACATTACACACTAATTGCCAATTTGCCTAATAAAGAAGAAAGAACGCTTGCCTTTAATTGGTCAGTGCGTTGAGTGTAGGAGTTGGGAGGTCATGTTGCGGCTATACAGGACATTGGTTAGGCCACTTTTAGAGTCCTCTGTTCAATTCTGGTCTCCCTGCTGTTGGAAGGATGTTAAACCTAAAAAGGTTCAGAAGAGATTTACCAGGGTTGGAGGGCTTGAGCCATTCAGTGATGCTGAATAGACTGAAGCTATTTTCCCTGGCGTGTCGGAGGTTGAGGGGGTGACCTTATAGAGGTTTATAAAATCATGAGGAGCATGGATAGGGTGAATAGCCGAGGTCTTTTTCCGAGGGTAGGAGGGTCCAAAACTAGGGGGTTTAAGGTGAGAGGGAGAAAGATTTAAAAGGGATCTGAGGGGCAACTTTATCACGCAGAGGGTGGTGTGTGTGTGTGGAATGAGCTGCCAGAGGAAGTGGTGGAGGCTGGTACAATTACAACATTTGGAAGGCGTCTGGATGGGTACATGGGTTGAGAGGGATATGGGCCAGATGTCTGGCAAATGGGACTCAATTAATTTAGGATATCTGGTCAGCATGGACAAGTGGACTGAAGGGTGTGTTTCTGTGCTGCACAGCTCTATGACTCTATAACAAAGGACAGTGCAGGAACTTGTCCATCGATAACTCCACTGCAAACGTTGGCATCTCTTTCACGACCTGCCTTTCCAGCTGTTTTTGCATTCACGAATTTGACAAGAGGGCATTCCCTTCCTCCCTCCAGATCCACAGAGAGTGGGTTGGGAAAGGGGAAGAATATTGGGAGGGTGGGGAACAGGCCATTCAGCCCTTCGGAACCGTTCCATCACTTCCGCCTTGATTCTCCGAGGGTCGGGGGTGGTGAATAATTGACGGTCGTTTTCAGATGTTTCAGAATCAGAAATAAAATGTTTCTTTCTGTGTGTGTCTCTCTCTCACACTCAGGGCTCCATCTTTAATGACTGCTGCATCATGTATTGGTGCAATTGCTGTGGGTGGTGCCAGATAGCGAGGGAGATGAAAGCGCGCAAGAGCGCCGTGACGGTGATTAATGCCAGCACCACCATGCTGCCCCACCCGACCTATGTCCCACAGCCCAGCTATGCCCCCCCGCCCAACCATGCCCCCCAGCCTGCCTACGTGCCCCCCGCCAACCAAGTGGCACTGCACCCAGCCAAATGAAGCAATCAAACCCACCGCAGGACACAGGGCACAGGAGTGATGTAACAATGCACGGTTGAAATACGGAGAATACTCCACAGCAAATATCCGTCCTTCAGCGTCGATGGGATGTTACCATTCCTGTGTAACATTAAGGGTTACAGCTAATGTCTTTCTGAAGATTTCGTCTGGTAAGCGTAGGGGCTCTCCTGAAAGGTCTGTCCATCGGATTTCTTTAATTGTTCTTGTCATCATTCCCCGTCTCTTTCTTCAATGGGTCTTCATGTTGTCCTGGTGTGTCTCAGTCCTCTCTCTCTCAGAGAGATATCAGTACACTGACTGGTGTCTCTCAGTCCCCCCTCTCTCTCTCTCAGGGAGAGATCTGTACACTGACTGGTGTTTCTCAGTCCCCCTCCCTCTCTCTCTCTCAGGAAGATATCTGTACACTGACTGGTGTCTCTCAGTCCCCCTCCCTCTCTCTCTCTCAGGGAGCTATCTGTACACTGACTGGTGTCTCTCAGTCACCCCTCCCTCTCTCTCAGGGAGATATCTGTACAGTGACTGGTGTCCCTCAGTCCCCTCTCTCTCAGGGAGATATCTGTACACTGACTGGTTTCTCTCAGTTCCCCCCCTCTCTCTCTCAGGGAGATATGTGTACACTGACTGGTGTCTCTCAGTCCCCTCTCTCTCAGGGAGATATCTGTACACTGACTGGTGTCTCTCAGTCCCCTCTCCCTCTCTTTCAGGGAGAT